TCTAGGATGAGTGTGGGTATGTGTGAAACTAAGTGGATCACTCGTACCTGGGTTTCTAGGATGAAAGTAGATATGTGTGAAACTTAGTGGATCAATCGTACCTGGTTTCTAGGATGAATGTGGGTATGTGTGAAACTAAGTGGATCACTCGTACCTGGGTTTCTAGGATGAATGTGGATATGTGTGAAACTTAGTGGATCAATCGTACCTGGGTTTCTAGGATGAATGTGGGTTTGTGTGAAACTAAGTGGATCACTCGTACCTGGGTTTCTAGGACCAATGTGGATATGTGTGAAACTAAGTGGAGCACTCGTACCTGGGTTTCTAGGATGAATGTGGGTATGTGTGAAACTAAGTGGATCACTCGTACCTGGGTTTCTAGGATGAATGTGGGTATATGTGAAACTAAGTGGATCACTCGTACCTGGGTTTCTAGGATGAATGTGGATATGTGTGAAACTAAGTGGATCAATCGTACCTGGTTTCTAGGATGAAAGTAGAAATGTGTGAAACTTAGTGGATCAATCGTACCTGGTTTCTAAGATGAATGTGGGTATGTGTGAAACTAAGTGGATCAATCGTACCTGGTTTCTAGGATGAAAGTAGAAATGTGTGAAACTTAGTGGATCAATCGTACCTTGGTTTCTGGGATGAATGTGGGTATGTTTGAAACAAAGTGGATCACTCGTACCTTGGTTTCCAGGATGAATGTGGGTATGTATGAAACTTAGTGGATCACTCGAAACTGGGTTTCTAGGATGAAAGTAGATATGTGTGAAACTAGTGGATCAATCGTACTTGGTTTCTAGGATGAATGTGGGTATGTGTGAAACTAAGTGGATCACTCGTACCTGGGTTTCTAGGATGAATGTGGATATGTGTGAAACTTAGTGGATCAATCGTACGTGGGTTTCTAGGATGAATGTGGGTTTGTGTGAAACTAAGTGGATCACTCGTACCTGGGTTTCTAGGACCAATGTGGATATGTGTGAAACTAAGTGGAGCACTCGTACCTGGGTTTCTAGGAGGAATGTGGGTATGTGTGAAACTAAGTGGATCACTCGTACCTGGGTTTCTAGGATGAATGTGGATATGTGTGAAACTTAGTCGATCAATCGTACTTGGGTTTTTAGGGCGAATGTGGGTTTGTGTGAAACTAAGTGGATCACTCGTACCTGGGTTTCTAGGACGAATTTGGGTATGTGTGAAACTAAGTGGAGCACTCGTACCTGGGTTTCTAGGATGAATGTGGGCATGTTTGAAACTAAGTGGATCAATCGTACCTGGGTTTCTAGGATGAATGTGGGTTTGTGTGAAACGAAGTGGATCACTCGTACCTGGGTTTCTAGGACCAATGTGGATATGTGTGAAACTAAGTGGATCACTCGATATGGGTTTCTAGGATGAATGGGGGTATGTGTGAAACTAAGTGGATCACTCGTACCTGGGTTTCTAGGATGAATGTGGATATGTGTGAAACTAAGTGGATCACTCGTACCTGGGTTTCTAGGACGAATTTGGGTTTGTGTGAAACTAAGTGGAGCACTCGTACCTGGGTTTCTAGGATGAATGTGGGCATGTTTGAAACTAAGTGGATCACTCGTACCTGGGTTTCTAGGATGAATGTGGATATGTTTGAAACTTAGTGGATCAATCGTACCTGGTTTCTGGGATGAATGTGGATATGTATGAAACTTAGTGGATCAATCGTACCTGGTTTCTAGGATGAATGTGGGTATGTGTGAAACAAAGTGGATCACTCGTACCTGGGTTTCTAGGATGAATGTGGATATGTGTGAAACTAAGTGGATCACTCGTACCTGGTTTCTAGGATGAATGTGGATATGTATGAAACTTAGTGGATCACTCGTACCTGGGTTTCTAGGATGAACGCTTGTTTGTGTGAAACAGTGCAATACAGTTACAATCATTGTTATATAACAATATGGGTATGTGTGAAACTACCTGGATCAATGACTTGGGTTTCTAGGATGGGATAAGTGTGGGTATGTGACATAACAGACCTTGTATAATCATTCATACTAAACATAACGTTTAGTTCCTTCATTTTGTTTGTTTGATGTAATACGTCACGTCTAGTGGTTGATATTATGAACAATGCCTCACCCCAATGGCGTACGATATAATGCACCATTGAATCACCTCGTACAAGCATAAGTTGCTGAGGGCGTGTTCTAACCTGGAAACCGGGGATGTCGAGGGTTCGATCCCCGGCCGAGTCATACCAAAAGACGTTAAAGATGGTACTTGTTGCTACCCTGCCTTGCGCTCGACATTGAGGGGATAAAACAAAAACTGTTGAGGCAATCATTTTAAAATTGCTGCACGGTATCTCAGTAGGTTGCGCTTTAAAAACGGCCTCAGTTCGGACTAGAACAAGCAGCCACACACAAACACACAAACACACACAAACAAACAAACAAATAAACACACACACACGCGCGCCTGCATGCATATCGCTCTGTAAGTGCATTAATCCCCAACGTCACGTTAAACCCCATTTCACTTCACCTGTAACCTGGTTGTTTGTAGTTTAATGCCGCTCTCAACAAAATTCCAGTTTTATGACTGAACCAGACAATCCAGTGATTGACTTCATGAGCATCGATCCACGCAATAGGGATACGATGACATGCATCAACCAAGTCAGCGAACCTCACCATCCGATCCCGTTAGTCACCTGTAACCTGGCAGAGCAAATTCGCTGAGTATTCTCTGCTTTTAGAGTTCTGCAGTTGAATAAACTCGTTCTGGAATCCCTCAATCTCACAAGACCGCCTCCGTGGTCTTGTGGTAGAGCGTCCGCCCGGAGAGCGGAAGGTCCAGGGTTCGATCCCGGGCCGCGTCATACAAAAAGACGTTAAAAGATTGTACTTGTTGTTACCCTGTCTGGCGCTCGGCATTAAGGGGCTAAAACAAGGACTGGTCGGCTCGGAGTCAGTATACTGTGTCTGAGTGGGGTATTCATGTTAAACTGCGGCATGGTATCTCAGTGAGCTAGCACTATAAATCGGCATCAGTCCGGACTAGTACAAGCAGCCACACACACACATACACGTGCATGCACGTCACTATATAAGTGCAATAATCTTGGACGCGACGTTAAACCCAATTTCACTTCACCTCACCTCAATCTCACAGGACAGAATGAACTTATTCAACTGCAGAACTGTGAAAGAACTGTGCTGAGCGACTGTACTGAGTGAGTATGGTTTTACGCCGCTTTTAACAATATTCTAGCAATACCACGGCGGGGGACACCAGAAAATGAGCTTCACGCATAGTACCCATGTCGGGAATCGAACCCGGGTCTTCGGCGTGACGAGCGAAAGCTTTAACGACTAGGCTACCCGACCGCCCCGATGTAAGGCTGAGGCTACTCCAAATTAATAAGTTAAATAGGGAGTGGCCTCATATCTGGAAATATTATTTATAAAATAAAGTTTAATGAAATAGGATCCATGTCCAGATTAGTACTTAACATCAGGCTCAAATGACCCAAAACTGAAAGTACAAGTTCTATCCGATCTAGATAAACAGCGTTCCCGTGAAGTGACAATTACAAAACAGACAATGATGTTGTATGATAGTGTATATTCTGTGAAAGATGATCTAAGTACAAGAATGAGTATTGCAGTCTAATCTCAAGAGTCATCTCAGACTGAAGAGACAACATTAAGTTATATATCAGGCAATTCATTTGTAAACAATGTGTACAGTGGGGCATAATGTAGAATTATATTTGTATAAGATTTGTTTGTTTGTTGTTTAACACCGCACTCAGCAATATTCAACTATATAAAACGGCAGTCTGGGACAGATAGTCCTGTGATTGACATCATGAGCATCGACCTACGTAAATTGGATACGATGACATGCATCAACCAAGTCAGCGAGCCTGACCACCCGGTCCCGTTAGTCGCCTCTTACATGGAAAGGTTGCTGAAGACCTATTCTAACCCGGATCGTGATACTTGTACAAGAATGGGAATTTTCAAGGTTTCTTATGTAAATTTGAGCTGTAGTTATTTATGCAATAATTCGCATCAAGAGTGGTTATTAGCTCCTCAAATGAAATATATTTTAAGATAAATTCCTACTTTGGGGTATTTATTATGATTTTAAGAGTGCTTTGGGTTGACACCCTTTACATCATCGAGCTTTAGTTTACATGCGGAAGAAATGTAGGTCATTGATGTTAACCATTTTGCTGAAACCAAAGTGAATGCGAATGGTGCTTATAGACAAATGATCATAACAAGGGATATCTGTGATAACTCCCAACCAGTGGACATGGTAGGCCTAGAATGACTAAGGGAGGTAACTCTGACTGTGGAGATGGACGCATCCAGTGGAGGGAGCAGAGGTTGTTCAAATACAGTATGGCTTTTAAAAGACAAATAGTCATACAGCATCTAAAACTATTTGCCATTTCATCTTTATATCGCATAGTGTATGAACATTCTGCCATTATCCAGTCTGTCATCCCTATTTTAGTGCTCAATACATGTATATTGTTTAATTAAAGTGTGAGTGAGTGAGTTGGGTTTAACGCCGCTTTTAACAGTATTCCAGTCATATCAAGGCGTGTCAGCTTAATGTGGGAGGAAAGCCCGAAGTGATGCAGGTCTCAGACGTTTACTACTTCGGTGAAACCCACAAGCACGGGTATGGTGCTGACAAACCTAGAAACATAATCGGGGCGAACCGGGATTCGAACCAACAATCATAGGTTTCTGGCGTGCCCAAGGGACGCAACTCTGCACAGCGAATCGCGGCGCCTTAGACGACTGGGCCACCCGTGCCCCCTAATTGAGTGTGAGTTGGGTTTAGCCCTGCTTTCAACAGTAATGTTAAATCACCGCATGCCAGGTTAATGCTGGGGAAAAGCCGGAAGTGATGCAGGTCCCTGGAGTTTACTGTAATACACAGTATGGTACTGAGAAACCTAGAAACATAGGGCGAGCAAGGATTCAAACACACAATCTAGGTTTCTGGCATGCCCAAGGGATGAAACTCTGCACAGTGCTATTGTAACATGTTACCCATGTGCATACACTTTCCATGAAAGGTATTCTGCTACATGAGGCTTAAAGCTACAGCTATACATACTATGACCCTACTAACAATTGCAATGCATTAAGAATAAATATCTCTACAAAATTGTGAATACAAAATCCTATACATTTTTCTCTGAAAGAATTGTGTTTGTTATTCGTTACCATGGTAATCTCGACCACACATATGATAGCCAATGTGATGCAGGTCTCAGACCTTTACCACTTCAGTGGATTCGAACCCACAATTATAGTCCCAAGGGACGCAACTCTGCACAGCGAATCACGGCACCTGAGACGACTGGGCCACCCGTGGTCCTCCCACCACACCTTTACAACAGCTAAAACTATTTGCCATTTCATCTTAACAGTGCACAGTATGGTACTGACAAACCTTGAAACAAAGGGCGAGCAAGGATTGAAACCCACAATCTAGGTTTCTGGCATGCCCAAGGGATGCAACTCTGCACAGCGATATTGTTGAATACATGATACCCATGTACATAGACTTTCCATGAAAGGTATTCCGCTACATTAGGCCTAAAGCTACAGCAGTACATACTATGACCCTACTAACATTTGCAATGCATTAAGAATAAATATCTCTACAAAATTGTGAATACAAAATCCTACACATTTTTCTCTGAAAGAATTGTGTTTGTTATTCGTTACCATGGTAATCTCGACCACATCTATGTTCATGACATTGAGATCAATGATGAAAGTGTTACTTGTACCAGGGAACTCCATGTGTTCAACATCGAGTGAGTGAGTGAGTGAGTGAGTGAGTGAGAGATTGGTTTAACACCCTTTTCAACAGTATTTTGGTTACATCTTTACGTCTCATATTGATGTGATAGGAAAGCCGGAAGAGATGCAGGTCTCAGACTTTTGGTCAAACCCTCCGGCAGACATGGTGCCGACAAACCTAGTAACAAAATGAGCAAATCGGATTTGATTCCATGATCATAGATTTCGGACACGTCTTTGGGATGAAACTCTACACAGCAAAGTGCGGTTCCTTAAATGATTTGCCATCAATATCAACCCATCCCCCAACCCAATATTTATTGCATAGCTAGTTTGTTCATTTCTTGCATTTAACACAAACTACACTATACAAAATATCTTACTTTGTCACATGACCATTTTGGCAAATCTCCCATGCGTGAATTGGGGAGGGCCATTTATTTTTGGTAAAAAATTAGCACTAATGGCAGGTTGATGGGTCAAAGCATTTCTCCTTGTGTAAATACAATACTTGTCCAACAAGACAACATGATTGCCACTGTATAAGTGAGTGAGTGAGTGAGTATGGTTCTACGCTGCTTTTAGCAAAATTCCAGTAATATCACATCGTGGACACCTGAAATGGGCTTCACACATTTTACGCCACTGTATAAAGTCTTCGACACAAACAGCCACAACGACGGATGGGATTAAGTAGTTGATCAGGACAGCTGATTGGCTGCAAATCGCTCCGTTGCTGATGGAACTTGAATAAGAAGGCCAGTGACCTCTGAAGGTCAACACGTGAACTTTGACTTGTCAGGCTTTATGCCACCAGGGGTTGCATCCTTCAATATAGCCTGGGTCAAGGTCAGGCCAAAAATGAATGCTCCCAAGATTATAAAAAAGCAGGAAAAGTACAGAAAAAACTTGTACTTTCGCTGATCTTCAATGGATGTAGAGTCTGCTAGTCGGTTGAGAGAAGTCTTTAACAGGCACATTCCTGAAACCAAACATAGTAATCTGATCATCTAGATCCATGGACAGGGTTTGGAATCAATATTCTCAAAGCTAAACTTAGAACTGATGCAAGCATAACACACAGAGCCTGCTCAAATGATTACATTTAAGCCAAAAAATTAACAAGTTCTCTATCAATGACAATGAGTGTTGACTCATCTTTGAAGCATAACATTCATGAACATTACAGGTTAGCTTGACCACACACCATCTTTTTAAATTGCATTAATTATGTATGTACCTAATATGTTTCGCATAAGTCTCCATACAAAGTTGTCACAATTTATGGACAACAACTTCTAAAATATGCTGTAATTGTGACATTTCAGTACAGATCCTTATCCCATTGTCAAGCAAGTCTCCATACATTCCCTGTGACATAAGGATATGTCTCCTTAAGTATCCAGTTAAAACAACTGGAATACTTTGCTATTACTACTGGCCTACCAGGGAATATATTGACACACTGATGAAGACTGCAGCTAGAGCTCCGAGCATCTGTATAACCATTCCGTTGTTGGATATAAATCATATAACAACATAGCAGGCCTGGGACGAGCCAAATTTACTACCCGGGTACCCACACCCATATTACCCGACCCTACCCTGGTACCTGCTGAATGTCTCACGAGATAGGTACAAAATGTCCTTTGGGGAATAGTTTGACCGTAGCCCTGGACAAAATGTATTTGGATACACATATAAAATGATGTGGTCATGCATACACTGAAGTTGACTGAAGTTCTATCTTTATTTAAACATATAAAAGTCAGAAGGAATGGGTGCATAGTCAGAAAGAAATGTGAACTTTGGTGACTTGTAGTGGAACCATATAGTTCTAGATAATTTTTGTCATTAAACAATATATCACATGACTAACCACAGGTCTGGGTATTCCTGTGGGTACCCAGATCCTTCTGAGTACCCAACTGAGGCGAGTACCCGAGTTACCCGTCCTAGCCCTACAACATAGTGTATCACTACCTGGGAATATAAAGATGAAGACTGCAGCTAGAGCTCCGAGCATCTGTATAACCACTCCAATGTTGGGTATAAATTGTATAACAACATAGTGCATCACTACCTGGGAATATAAAGATGAAGACTGCAGCTAGAGCTCCGAGCATCTCTATAACCACTCCAATGTTGGGTATAAATTGTATAACAACATAGTGTATCACTACCTGGGAATATAAAGATGAAGACCGCAGCTAGAGCTCCGAGCATCTGTATAACCACTCCAATGTTGGGTATTAACACAGCAAGCACTACTGTCAACCCAAACCAGATGACAGTCGTAATGATGCGTCTCATTCTCTCCCCTTGAGCAATATCTTCTGGAGCCATTCTTCTTGCACTGATCCAGATAGATTCAAATGCTGCCCTGCAACACAATAAAATCAGACCTTTTTGATATTCTGATAGAACACAGTTGGCCTACATACTCCATTTGTTTTTCTGATATTTTCATGGGTACAAAGTATGGTCTGTGGTTTAACTCCTGTTATTCTGGCCTCACTCACACATATCATGGATCATGAAATCATGATCTTGTAGTGAGTAAGTGAGTTGGGTTTAACGTCGCTTTTAACAGTATTCCAGTTATATCGCGGCGTGTCAGCTTAATGTGGGAGGAAAGCCCGAAGTGATGCAGGTCTCAGAGGTCATAATCGGGGCGAACCGGGATTCGAACCCACAATCATAGGTTTCTGGCGTGCCCAAGGGACGCAACTCTGCACAGTGAATCGCGACGCCTTAGACGACTGGGCCACCCGTGCCCCCTATGATCTTGTAGGTACATAGCAATATATTAATGTCTAATAAGTCTCACATCCTTCAGTTTTGCTTGTTTGTTTATTGTTAACGCCGCACTCGGCAACATTCCAGCTATATGAAGGCGGCCTGTAAATAATCGAGTCCGGACCAGACAATCCAGTACTTGATATCATGAGCATCGATTGCCGCAACTGGGATTGATGACATGCATCAACCAAGTCAACGAGCCTGACCACTTGATCCCATTAGTCGCCTCTTACGACAAGCATTGTCGCCTGTTACAGCAAGGATGGGTTGCTGAAGACCCATTCTACCCCGGATCTTCAACCTCCTTCAGTGAAGCATTTCTTAAGGATTCGTTCCATGCCATATTTGTATTACGTCACTTTTCATGAGAATTCTCTTTTACATGGTTGCTCAAGACACTTTGATATGTTTGACATTGAGTGGGAATTTCACATTTGAAATGAGGAAAAGGTATGTCTACATGGCTGCCTATACTGTAATTGTCAGGTTACTGCTATATATGGACAAGATTGCTTAAGACTTTGGGGGACTTTGAGAGGGTTTGTTTGTTTAACGCTGCACTCAGCACTATTCCAGCTATATGACAGCAGGCTGTAAATAATCAAGTCTGGACGAGACAAGCCAGTGATTGATATTGTAAGCAACAAATGATGACACTTAGTCACCGAGTCACCAAGACACTGAGTCTGACCATCCAATCCTTTTAGTCGTCTCTTTCAACCAGCATAGGTTTCTGGAGACAATTTCTAAAGTGGGGAGACTTTGAGAGGGAATATCACATTGGATATATGAAAATGGTATGCTTGCATGACTATGTGGACTATCATTTATAGATTATTATATATCAGGCAAGGATAAGTGATAATGCAAACCTTCCACAAAACAGCAGAATTGGGTATGTTGTGTAGGTCTTAATGGCTATAAACACGACCGCAATAATCACAGGTATATCAGGCTTGAAAGAGAGCAATATGTCGCTGGTGACACTTTGACCAAACTGGAGATATCCTAGCGCCGCCGTCACTGTGTAACTGATCACGCAGAGAAACATCGCCACAGAGATGGTCTTAGTGAACTCCTTCACATTTCTCTTCTCCATGCAGGAGTATATAGGGATTATACTGACATGGCACTGCAAGGAAGAAGACAAGTGAACTACATACAGAGTTGGAAATATATCATGAAAGTCAATGGTCTTTGATGTTCGTTTGTTTGTTTGTTATTTAATACCACACTCAGCAATATTCCAGCTATATGACGGTGGTCTGTAAATAATCGAGTCTGGACCAGACAGTCCAGTGATTGACATCATGACATCGATCCATGCAATTGGGATACGATGACATGCATCAACCAAGTCAGCGAGCCTGACCACTCGATCCCGTTAGTCGTCTCTTACCCCAAGCATAGTCACAATTGTCTTTGAGATAACCCTAATGGTGAAAGTGAAGTATTTAGGAGGACCTTAACTTCAAATACCATGAGAGAAAACCTATAAAATCCCAGAACCCCCTAAATTTCTGTCACTGCACAAATGTTGATATGAGAAATGGAGAAGAGCATGATCAATGTAGTAACAACAACAACAACAACAACAATAATACATTTGTATGACACTTTTTCCATGCTGAATATCATGCTCAAGGCACATTATTACCCCAATCAATGGATCAGTGTGCTCAAATTTCATTCTCAGCTCCCTTGGGAGTATACAACCCAAGCTGCCTGTGAGGTGCTAGAAGGTTAACAGCCACATTACCATCTCATCCTACCGGGTACCCATTCACTGCTGAGTGAACAGAGGCATAATTCAAGTGTATTACAATCACAAAATATTAGATAAAGGGAGGTAAGTCTATAATGTGTGACATCTACGAGGAGATAACATTTCCAGCGCTAATCAGCTGATTGTTGAGGCTTCACGTACCTGGTATGCAAAACATATTGTTGGCACAACAAGGAACACATCCATCCATGAATCGGGCCTGTAACAGAGTCCCACATAAAATCTCTTGTTTGAAATGCTTGTTAGTCTGGAAGTTAATTTAAGGTACCGACATTTACTACAATATCTGAAAAACTATTGGACCTACTCCAGTCAAAGTTGGTATGAGATAACTAAACAGTCATACATAACTGGATATTACATTTAAAGACAATCGGTGGATGAATAAAAAATCTGTCTATTTAGCTATCACTATATTTCATCAACAACCACGTGTTCGTCACGGGTGGAACGAGCATTCATTGTAACAGCCATCTGCATAATGCTACCCCTGCGTCACAGGGCCATATGACACAGTTGAACCAATCAACTCAACTCGAAAGGTTGCACGGAAATCACACATGCACGAATATGGTGTTAGCATTAGATTTCATGATGTCTCAGCGCAAGCATCTTTCCGCTGATGCGAAAGGTTTCGTTGTTAAAATATTTGAATACTTTAAGGCTGTACCTTAAATTAACTTCCAGACTATACAATTCTAGTTCATGATTTTTTAGTGATTGGATGACTTGTTGGCTTGTTTGTTGTTTAACGCCGCACTCAGCAATATTCCAGCACTATGACAGCGGTCCGTAAATAATCGAGTCTGGACCAGACAATCTAGTGACTAACATCATAAGTATTGGTCTACACAATAGGGCTACACTGATTCCATGCTTACTAGACGTAGGATGCATGAAACAAATCATAATGTCATTAAGTGGCATTTTAGACTGTTGAAGACCAAGTTGACATATGGATTTCAAAGAATAAAGAAGTTGAAATCTATAAGTCCACGAACCAATCACACTTTGCCATCATAGTAATACATCTGAATGATTTTGATTCAAGTGAATTATTACATCAACTGAAAAACAGATAAAAACATTAAGAAACAAAGAGAAATTATGCAACTTCATCTCGCACATAAACATAAAATCTCAGGCAATTCACACACTGATTAAAATGTACCGGTAATACAAGAATTGATATATAATGACCAATGGGTGAAACACCTGTGTATATTAATTAAACTGTTCCCTATTAACCCACAATCCCCTGTTCCCACTTTACCTATTAATAACACTTACGTTGTCTTTACACGCTGTGGTGGATCGTGAGGGAGAAAATACTTCACGGTAACCATGACAACAACATAAACAATCCCAACTACGCCAACAAAACTGAAACAGAAAAAACATGTACTCAGTTTCAACCATCGTTAGTCTCTGGTATCCCAGTAGAGCAGTTACTGGTAGTTAGTGACAGTAACACTGTGTACCTCAAACATATAATTATAGAGCTAAAAAATACCGTATTCCATGTAATAAGCGCCCAGGGCCTTCTCAAAATTAGAAATAGAGGGCTCTTATTAGAATATTATTTTGGTGAAAACAACAGAGTTGAAAGATCTTACATTTCGTGGTTTATGCTGACAGCCTGAAATGTTTATATACGACAGATATATTTTTCGAGAATTTAATTTACCATAAATAAGGGTGCATCTAACATACATATTATACAAGAATAAATATGTCTTGTGTACATTGATCGATCGGAAGGGGTGCTAATTGGGATTGTTCACTAGCCAATATATTAGCAAATATAGCCATGGGCGCTTATTAGAACGGGGCGCTTATTACGTCGAATATGGTAGTCTTGGTTCTCAGGCATAAAGTCCGCCGCACATTTCATTTTTATTTCCATTTTCAAACAAATAAGTTATCCTTATACTTAAAAACAATGCGATCCAATATAGCACACAGTTACTTCCCTTTACATGTCCACTGCTTTACTGCGCATCTCGTGTATTGGTCATAGCAGCAAAAGGAGTTTGTATGCTTATTTATGTAGGTTGTTTCCCAGGTTGATGGTACACAGCTGTTTATTTGGTTACATTTTACATTTGTAGTTTGAACAAAAAAACCAAAACCACCGCACGCCCGCACTATATATTCAAAAGTCATTGCCTGAGAACTAATTCTTTTATTTTTATAAGCCTTATCATGATATTTATGGTGAATCAGGGAGTGAGTTTGGTTTAACGCTGCTTTAAACAGTATTCAGTCATATCCCGGCGTGTCAGCTTAATGTGTAAGAAAAGCCTGGAGTGATACAGGTCATAGGCATTTACCGCTTCAGTGAAACCAACGCCTACCAACGTCTAAGGTATGTAACTTGCTAAATCTAAGATGACGGGGCCACTATTGCTCTGTTTAATACTATATGATAGAACTTGCAACCTTTACAATTTAACTGGAAACACATCTTGTTGAGCATGCCTATGAAGTGTGGAGTCTTGATCGATTTGTCTGTCGTGACATTACTCAGACTCAGAGAGCACTTTTGAAAAGTAGTTTGCTGGATATTAGCTCTATACAAAGGTATAGTTATTGCAGTGAATCCATGATCACATGTTACATATGTTTGGGAAGATTGGCCCTAGAATCCATCAAACACATTTGTATTAATTCTGCTACAATTCCAGCTTTCCATGAAAAACAAATAGACATTAAATGTCCCATTATGTTTATATCTCAAACACTGAATGAGATTTTGAAACTCTCAGAAATAAAACCTAAATTAACAAATATCATTCAGCTGTCAATGTAATTGTAGAATTATCAATGCATGTGTGCCACAAACAGTTTGATTTGTTTAATATCTTAAGAACCACACAGTTCTATTTTGGACAAAATTCTTATCTCAGGAATGTTTGAAACGAAAGTCAGAAGCAACTAGCTGGGGATCAGGTGCAGCAATGCTGTTTATGGGACAGGTGTGTTGTTGTTTTTATAATGTAGCTACTAATAAATATTGATTTTCTGATAATGAATAGGCGGTGACTATCGAACTATCAATGCCTTGTGCTGACTGGGACACATTCACTGTCACCTGAAGCTTACCTGGCATACTTGAGAAAGTCGATCCTCCGGGGGAAACAGAGGGGGAGGATGAGAAGGATCGAGGTCACGATAACGCAGAAACTTCTGTTCATGTAGATTGGCTGCTCATCACAGTATACGTTCTTGGCCACGAAAAGGAAAACTGAAAAATAAAACTTATGCAAAACAAGAACTGATGATGAGAGTGATCTCCCCTTATGCTTATATTCCTCAAGCTCCTCACAGCGATAGTACGTTCCCGGAGCTCTCTATACTATCGCTGCCACCAGTCAAAACTCCCCACTGTGAATAGGTGGCCACAACCATGCTTGGAGTTGAACTCGCAACCGAATGACTGTTTTGTTTACAAACAAGTGACGACTGTCGTGACGCCGAATACACTTATAGCTGCTAAATTACTTTCTTCGTTTGTCAATTTGAATTTCTGTTTCATTAAAACTATTGTGTTATTGATATAGTAAGAATGTAAGGGAGAAGTCGGTTGGTTTTCCGTTAGTCTTTCCGCTTTCCTCCCAAATCAAGCTGAAACGCCGCGATATAACTGGAATACTGTTAAAAGTGGCGTTAATCCACTCACTCACTCACTCACTCACTCACTCACTCACTCAATAGAACAATTTGTACCTATCTCTTGAGAGCTACATCAGGTATCCGGGTAGGGTCGGGTAATAGGTGGATGGGTACCCGGGTAGTACATTTGGACTCGTCCGAGGCCTACAACTTTGTATCCATCACTAATGTTAGCAAACAGCTGCTACTGCAAGCCATGAAACGGAATGCCTACCAAGTTGGTTGCACTACACGATACACAGACTGGTGTCAATCGATGGTGGGAGGTGTGGGATGAACATGGCGGAGAAAGAGCAACAGGGATCATTTTTTTTGGTTTTACAGGGTGTTTCTAAATGCCCTATGCTGAGCGACAGGTGTACATGTGTACATGGAACTTTTCAAGGATTGCTCTTGCCTGTGTCCAGCGACGGCCATAATTCCCAGAGCATCAACGCCCACCTTAGACAACTTTGTGACTACTGTGGCAAGGACACAGCTGATAATGATGTGGATGTGCAATTTTCTCTGAGAGAAATGGAATACGTTAGACTATGAGGGGAGGTAATTTGAACAGCTTCATGACGTCAGCTGGTTATGGCGTAACACAAAAAGTAAACTTAACCAAAGGATAAAGTATAGATGGCACTGTTGATCTTGAGGCGAAACATCTTAGATTAGTACCTTATGCATGAATGTAGAACGTGGGGGGCTATGGCATTGGTGGTAGCAACAGTGGAGAGCTCCATGAAGGGGGCTGTGAGGAGCTTGTAACATTCCTTCAACTGATCATCAAAGTTACCTCCCCTTGTACTTACATTCCTCCCACTGGTCGCCTATGATGATCAGGAAAGTGATGCATGTCCCAAAACAGTAGATAAGTAATGCGAAGGCGGACGCTATTTGTGCCTTCCTTCCACACACCGACAACACAACATCCTGATAGGTGGCGCTGTGATTCAGGTCCGAGATGTATGCCAGAATGAAGATGGCCATCACAACAAATGTCATCATTATCTGAAAATTGGGAAACATGTTTATCAGTATGTTTAATCCATCAATGAGAATAATAGGTGAGATGAAATGGGGTTTAATCTCACGTTCATGATTATCACACATATATCGATGGGTGTGCATGTGTGCGAGCATGTGGCAACTATATAACCATGCAACTACAACATATATGGTGTTGACAGATCAAGGGTCACAATCAGAAGATGCTTGAAAACCACAATCATCAAATCCTGGCACAGCTATGGGAGACAACTCTACACAACAAATTCATTCAGCCTGTCCCACAGATAAATGATTACCCACAATCCACAAATCACAGAAAGAAGAAAGTGGCATCAGTTGGGCATGTTCTAGGAATATCAATGGATGTCACCAAATATTATATAGTGATGTGCATGCATATGTGTGTGTGTGTGTGTGTGTGTGTGGGGGGGGGGGGGGGGGGGGGGGAGGGGGAGAAAGAAAAGGAGGAGGTTTTTTTTCTGGGGGGGGGGGTTTGTTTTTTCTGCACCAGGCAGGGTAACAACAAGTACCACCTTTTAAGAAAAGGAGGAGAGGGGGGGGGAGGAGGAGGAGGGTTGTTTTTTTTGGGGGGGGGGGGGGGGGGGGGGGGCTGCCTGTACTGGTGCCGATTCATAATGCTAGCTCACTGAGATACCATGCTGCATTTTAACATGAATACCCCACTCAGACACAGTATACTGACTCCGAGCTGACGGGTCCTTGTCTTATCTCCTTGTTACCGAGCACCAGGCAGGGTAACAACAAGTACCACCTTTTAACAACTTTAGGTATGTAATGGCCAGGGATCAAACCCCGGGCCTTCAGCTTTCAAGGTGGACACTCTACCACTAGACCACGGAGGCGGTCTAATAGTTCAGGGCAAAACTATACTTTATTTCACAACAAACTATTTCTTCAACATCCCAGTAAACAGGTTTTAAAATCATACATATTCAGATATTTGGTTGAACATTGCAAAATTTATTTCCTGTTTTTAAAATTTAGGCTGATCTTACCCTTACAATAGTACAACATTAATGCTAGTCAGTATCACCTATCAGCACCTCAGGAAATCATCGTTACTTACTGTCTGTATGACAATGGCAATGAGCACCCCCCCGGCCTGGTCATAAGCCTGGGGGAAGTTGAGCAGCCCCGCCCCCAAGGCTGCATTCACCACCAGGAATGCGGAGGAAAACCAGGAGGACCCTGAGAAAAAACCAACATAGTGTAAACACATCATATGGACAGATCTAACAGCCCTTACCTTCTTACCCACTGAAACAAAATAGTTTGAAGTACGTACCATTCATTCAAGAATGTATTGATATCTGCAACGTTCAGAAGGTGGAAATCTTCAGAACTGGCCAGAAGGACATTTGTTACAGGGCTTATATATCCATGTAATATTTTACATCAGTCCATTTTGTAACATAAATGTTAATTAGAAGGTTTTTTCGACCAATTAAAAGGTTTTTCGCAATTGATATTATTTATTCATAGATAACATGTTTGGTTGGTTGATTAGCATGATTAGTAATTAAATATGTCCAAAGTGAATATCAAAAAGAGTGCAGTTCAGTTCAGTACTCAGCCGAGCTCATCACATGCTTCATTGGTCGTATTGAACACGTACAGTTTACAGTAGGAGGTGAGGTGAAATTGGGTTTAATGTCGCGTCCAAGATTATTGCACTTATAAAGCAACGTGCATGCACATGTATGTGTGTGTGTGTGGGGGGGGCTGCTTGTACTAGTCCGTACTCATGCCGATTTATAGTGCTAGCACACTGAGAGACACAGTATACTGATTCCAAGCCGACCAGTCCTTGTTTTAGCCCTTTAATGCCGAGCGCCAGACAGGGTAACAACAAGTACCATCTTTTAACGTCTTTTGGTATGACGTGGCTGGGGATCGAACCCTAGACCTTCCCCTCTCCGGGCGGACGCTCTACCATTAGACCACGGAGGCGGTCTGTTTACAGTAAGAGTGAGTGAGTGAGAATGGTTTTACGCCGCTTTTAGCACTATTCCAGCGATATCACGGCTGGGGGTCACCAGAAATGGGCTTCACACATTGTACTCATGTCGGGAATCGAACCCGGGTCTTCGGCGTGACGAGCGAAACGCTTTAACCACTAGGCTACCCGACCGCCCCGTTTACAGTAAGACACGTTATAGGGGAAAAGAGGATGTGCATTGGGGGTACAGTGAAACATCATTATTCAGGACACCTGCTTACCCACTGAAATCGTCAGGATTAAATAAATTCCGGATTAAAAATTCGAGATATGGAGTAATGTCCCTTTGTATTTACGCAGTTTCCACCTATGTGACAGCAGACTGTAAATAATAGATTCTGGACCATACAAAACAGTGATCTATATTTTGTGCAATGATCCATGCCGTCAGGGTACGATGACACGCAATCAACCAAGGCACTGAGCTTGACAACCGGATCCATATTTCTTCTCCTATAACAACAAGCTGAGGTTGCTCAGTTTCTGGATTAACAGGTGTCCAGACTAATGAGGTTTCACTGGAATTCAAGGGAGGATCTGTCATGGGGAGCATCTCAGCAGATGAGGACGGTTGTGACAGATGTGAGTATTATGTACTAGAAAAGAAGACAACAATAACAAAAGGCTGGGCTAAATGAATTATTTCTATTAAACCTTTTAGTTTGTCTTGCTAAAATGTACAAGCAAGTTTTCTTTCACTGTAAATCCTTCGATTAAAAAATTAAAATACAATCGTCAAAACTAAAGAAAAAGAAATCATTTTTACAACATTTTGTGTACTTGAGATGCTAGTAACCATAAAATACATGTGTTATATCTGACAAAAATTGTAAATTTACATCAAACGTAAACATAACCAGTACGTGTGACTGTTTAATGGACAGGTCATCATCACAATGGCTAGTGTGTAAGTTGTAGCAGGATCACTCGGGGCACATGGGGTTTTGTGCGTCCTGCATTAGGTTTTATACCACAAGCCGGAGGCTGCTATAACAAAGTTACCTTCCCGACATGGGGGGCATGGGTGGCCCAGTCGTCTAAGGCGCCGCGATTCGCTGTGCAGAGTTGCGTCCCTTGGGCACCTATGGTTGTGGGTTCTAATCCCGGTTCGCCCTGATTATGTTTCTAGGTTTGTCAGCACCATACCCGTGCTCGTTGGTTTCGCCGAAGTGGTAAACGTCTGAGACCTGCATCACTTCGGGCTTTCCTCCCACATTAAGCTGACACGCCGCGATATAACTGGAATACTGTTAAAAGCGATGTTAAACCCAACTAAACCACTCACTCACTTACCAACATGCTTTAATAGGACATTATAAAAGAATTCAAACAATTTCAAAATTGATAGAAAACAGCTGTTTGATTGAGCTGAGGTTAGCTTGCGCTAGGTCACATGACTTCCACTGACTAGGAAAAAGAAAAGCATGCAGCTTCTTGCTTTGAAGCGGGGTATAAGGGATTTATTCTGCCTTTCAGAAATCCATGTGCAGCCTGACTTGCTAGTGATGGGGAAGAAGCGATATATTCACCCACTGAGAAATGTATTCTCCTCTAAGGAGGGATACACAGTATTTCATCAAGATCACATGGACCAATCTGATCTCATCATTTGGACAAGGAGGTATAATAAATACTTATATAATGACTCATACATCTCTACTGATCAAACAATATCAGTATTTGGGGGAGTGTTCCAGTTATATCATGGCGTGTCACCTTAATGTGGGAGTATTTCAGTTATATCACGATGTGTCAGCTTGATGTGGGGGTATTTCTGTTATATCACGGCGTGTCACCTTGATGTGGGAATATTTCAGTTATATCACGGTGTGTCAGCTTGATGTGGGGGTATTTCAGTTATATCATGGCGTGTCAGCTTGATGTGAGGGTATTTCAGTTATATCATGGCGTGTCATCTTGATGTGGGAATATTTCAGTTATATCATGGTGTGTCAGCTTGATGTGAGGGTATTTCAGTTATATCATGGCTTGTCAGCTTGATGTGGGAGTTTTTCAGTTATATATAATGACATGTCAGTTTGATAACGAGGGAAAGCCTAACGGGATGCAGGTCTTCGAGGTTTAACAGTTAGTGGAGAAACACACATGCATGGGTATGGTGCTGACAGACCTAGAAACATAATCGGGGCGAATCTGGGATCTGAACCCCACATTATTGGTTCCTGGTATGTCAAAGGGACACAACCCTGCAAAACAGATTATGGCCCCTTAGGGCGACTGAGCCTCACCTGCCCCCATGAAGTGAATGAACATATAGACACAAAGGGATAACTACTGGAAGATAATACAGAATGATCATGTGATACACCTACAAAACCGTCTTATCTGATACATCAACAAGGTATAGGACTAGCCTGTTTGAAAATCAAATTCCACCCATTGTATATTTTAATGTACAATTCTTATTTCACAAAAAATATATAAATATAGTTTAAACAATACATCAACTCAAATAAGCTCTGTAGCAGCTGCAAGCCAATTTCAATTCTTTTTCAAGCTTGGATGAAGATAAATGACATCCTCATGATCTGCACGGTTGTGCAATTGCTCAGCATAGCTTTAGGCATTCTGGGTCATTAACATGATTAAGGGGTAATCTTTCTTTTGTTAATATAAGACATGAGTTAAATTACAACACCCACCCCACCCACCCCCCCAAAAAATATAAAGGAATCCCCAAAGTGTTCACTAAACAAGCATGTGTGTGTGTCGGTGAAAGTGTGTGTGTGTGTGTGTTTTGGGGGTGGGGGTGGGGTTTGTCAGTGTGTGTGGGGGGGTGTCAGTGGGTGGAAGCATGTGTGTGGGTGTCAGTGGGTGGGTGTGGATGTGCATCGGTGTGTGTGTGTGAGAGTGTGTGTGTGTGAGAGTGTGTGTGTGTGTGTGTGTGTGTGTGTGTGTGTGTGTGTGTGTGTGTGTGTGTGTGTGTGTGTGTGTGTGTGTGTGTGTAACTTGTTTAATATTAGACATGAGTTAAATTATCCCACCCACCCACCCAAAAAAAAAATATATAAAGGAATCCCCAAAGTATTCACTGAACAAGCGCAATATATCATAGCTCTGTGTGTGTGTCAGTGTGTATGTGTCAGTGTGTATGTGTCAGTGTGTGTGTTGGTGTTGGTGTTGGTGTGTGTGTGTGTGTGTGTGTGTGTGTGTGTCAGTGATTGGGAGCATGGGTGTTTCAGTGTGTGTGTGTGTGTGTGTGTCAGTGGGTGGGAGCATGTCTGTGGGTGTATCAGTGTGTGTGTGTGTGTGTCAGTTGGTGGGAGCATGTCTGTGGGTGTATCAGTGTGTGTGTCGGTGAGTGTGTGTGTGTGTCAGGGGGATGGTGGGGGTTGTGGGTGTGTCAGTGTGTGTGTGTCAGTTGGTTGGGAGCATGGGTGTTTCAGTGTGTGTGTGTCAGTGTGTGTGTGTGTGTGTGTGTGAGTTGGTGGGAGCATGTCTGTGGGTGTATCAGTGTGTGTGTCGGTGAGTGTGTGTGTGTGTGTCAGGGGGATGGTGGGGGTTGTGTGTGTGTGTGTGTGTGTGTGTGTGTGTGTGTGTGTGTGTGTGTGTGTGTGTCAGGGGGATGGTGGGGGTTGTGGGTGTGTCAGTGTGTGTGTGTCAGGGGGATGGTGGGGGTTGTGGGTGTGTCAGTGTGTGTGTGTCAGTTGGTTGGGAGCATGGGTGTTTCAGTGTGTGTGTGTCAGTGTGTGTGTGTGTGTGTGTGTGTGTGTGTGTGTGTGTGTCAGTGGGTGGGAGCATGTCTGTGGGTGTATCAGTGTGTGTGTGTGTGTGTGTCAGTTGGTGGGAGCATGTCTGTGGGTGTATCAGTGTGTGTGTCGGTGAGTGTGTGTGTGTGTCAGGGGGATGGTGGGGGTTGTGGGTGTCAGTTGGTTGGGAGCATGGGTGTTTCAGTGTGTGTGTGTGTGTCAGTGTGTCAGTGTGTGTGTGTGTGTGTGTGTGTGTGTGTGTGTGTGTGTGTGTGTGTGTGTGTGTGTGTGTGTGTGTGTGTGTGTGTGTGTGTGTGTGTGTGTGTGTGTGTGAGAGAGAGACATGGGGCTGAATATCGGCCAGTCTATCCACTCTATCCACTTGACCATATAAACTAAAAAAAGAGAGTTGCACCTAGCCTATGAAAACCGGGAGACATCATGACTCACTCAGTCTCACTGTATATTATCTAAAGAATGGTTTGATAGGCATTATTTAGAAGTTGACGGATCACAAAGTAGACATAATGTATGGATAACGACTTCTTAATTTACTGGAAAGGCGACGTTTTGGTATAGATCCTTATACCATTGACAAGCAAACGTGGTTATTCATAAATTATCTCTACATTGTGATTATCTTAAGAGTTGTGATAACAATTTAGAGTCATGCATGAACTTTTTTTTCAACCTACTATGTAACAAAACAATAACATTTGTAAACATTCTGCTGATTGAAATACAGTATGCAACTTTAAAAAAATATTTTAAAATTCCGTTACAGTCACATGGATGTATTTGTGGGAAACTGAACTGACAGAAATATTTTGCATCAAATATGCCATATATGAATACAGTAGGATTATTTCGGATGAACATAGCGTCAGATACACGCAAATGCTGAGTCAAAGTGACACCTGGTAAAACTCCTCTTGGTTCATTTGAAGATTTAAAATGTACTGGCATTCAAGTATGCTGAAGATGGACTCCACAGTCTTTCTAAAAAAATAATTTCTTAAAATAAAAATTTAAAACAAATGTTCTTATTTTCATTCCCTTATTTAAGATGTACAACAGTTTGAAAGGGAAGCAAAATTTGAGGTATGACTTTTCATTTTGACCATGATGTCCAGCTATGCATCAAGACATCTTCAATTAAGCTACCCTGGTCTTAACAAGGTGCTTTTTGTGTACAGAGTTTGAAGATTAATCAGTCTCTGAACACATTATTATCATCATCATCATTATCATTATCATATCATATCATTATTATTATCATTATTATTTTTATTTTTCATTTATCAATGAAGTTTATGATCACAGTTACTGTGTCAGTGCCAAGCCAATTTGGCCTCTTCATTTACACTCAGGGTTAAAGTCCTCTTATCACAGTAAGTGTGCTATCAGGTCAACAATTTCATCATGGTGTTGTCACAATACAGACTACTGTATATTGCTGTGCAGGGTATTTGCATATGAATATTGTAGTATTAATAGCTTTTGGAGACATATTTACTATACAGTTTAAGGCATTTTGTGATGAAGCTAATGGGTAAAAAATAACCGATATTTTCACATGTGTCAACTCGTACACACAAAGACTTGTAAAAGAAGACCTGACTGACCCGTTCATAAACTTTTTCTCTGACCAGCACACAAATCTGGATAACATGTACACAAACTGGCCTCCCCATTCACAATAACAATCAAATACATGGGTACACAGAACATGATTATTAATAATGGGTATTTTGTATACATCTATATCTAAAGCATTTTGGTATTTGAAGTTCTTTTATATGGGATAACTATGTGTTTATTAATGAACAATATTTGTCTTCCACTCATGACTACTCACATTGGTTTAGTGATGACAATACCGCAAACCATCAACTTGATCCTTGAATCACTTTGCAAATAAATAATCATTACAATGAGTGTTGGTGAGCAATTAGTAGAATTTGATTGACAAGGTCTGTCAGAAAGGGTTCAGCTTTTGGGATCACCCAAACAGAGTAATTAATTATTAGGAATTATTTAGGGTATTCTGTCGTCCTGATTTTACAACACTGACATAACTCATACAGCTCACCATCCTCTTCGCGGTGCACATACAAAAATGTTTTGACTATGAATTTTCAAAACTGATATAATCATGACAACTGATACAAGTCTCATAAATTTCAAAAGCGACACGTCGGTTAGTGATCATTCCAGCAGAGGCTTCACTTAAAGTTGAGGTGTTTTGAACAACAGCAATAAACAACTGACTTCACCTTAATCCAGTACAAAGCTATCTCTAAGTCATCAATGATGTTCAGTCAGGTTAAATATTGAACTTATTCTCTCAGTGCTAAATATACCAATTATGGTCCATTTTCACTATGTATGTACAGTCCATTACAACTAGACATTTGGGTGATTTTGACTGACTTGCATGGTCTGTTTTGACTGGCATATCTTTTAAAATGTTGTAATGGGCGTTACCGTATTCGAAGTAATAAGCGCCCAGGGCGCTCTCAAAATTAGAAATAGGGGGCTGTTATAAGAATATTATTTTGGTGGAAAAAAGAGAGTTGAAAGATAAATTTCGTGGTTTATGCTGACACACTGAAATGTTTATATGCGACAGATACATTTTTCCATAATTTAATTGCCCATAATTAAGAATGCATATAACACACGAGTGCGTATCATACGCGAATAAATAAGTCTTGTGTACATTGATCAATCGGAAAGATTGCTAATTGGGATTGTTCACTAGCCAATATATTAGCAAATATTGCTGTGGGCGCTTATTAGAGCGGCGCGCTTATTGCGTCGAATACGGTATTATAGTAATCAAAATGTTTGTGTCATTACAATTCAATTCACCCTTTATGTGGAATATCAGTAATATTTTTAGTGTGTGGATAGACAGGCTCATTTGTGTATGGGGTTGCATTTTTGTGTACAAATCAAAATATGTGCACGTGTATAAGTCCATTTCTTGTGTTTATGGGCACGGTTGTAATAAGAAAGTGAACGAGGTGACACCTTATCTTAAATCAATCTTATGTTGAACACTTTGTGGCTATACATACATATGTATATGGTGTAGGACTTTGTGCTTTGGATATAAACAAAAATGGACTTATCGGTTGGGATTTTTCAATTACAATTTTATAATGCTTGGAAAATTTACCATGCTTGGAATCAGCTTCTGCAGAAATTAAACATGAAACATGAACACAATGTAGACATAACATGTTAGATCTAAACATGATAACTGATATCTTAAACAAACCAACAGTTTGTCTTGGGCACTGTCACTTTATGAGATTTGTATATTTATCGTTTATTGTTTGTCTATGGCATAGTAAAGCATGTTTGACATGAGGGATGGCGATTTTCATCAAAATTAATCCTGTCCACATTTTCGACACAAACATTCGTATTTTTTATTTAATGCTTGTTATAATTGGAACAAAACTGGACCTTTGATAACTGCGGGTGCATCTTTCCCCTTTCTTCCCGTCAACAATCCAACTTCTTCTTCGTCTTGAGGAACGACTAATTCGTCAGCAATATCGGAAGCTTGGAGAGACATCGTTTAGCTGTTCAAAAACCGAACTATTTCGTACACTCTTGGTAGACGTTAATCAGAAACATAAAATGTCAAATCTATCATGTTTATGTTTTGCTTTGCGCTAGGGTTGCATCCGCCATGATTAAGTCATGTGACTGAAATTGTAAATGATAAACATTTGAAAGAATAAAAGCCCACAAAATCGTACATGCGCACAAAGGCACATGAAACTATCTAATACATCCATAATAGCATCGCAGTGGATATTGTCTCAGTGACTGATATAATTTCTGAGCAGACGACAATCATTTGAAACACATATGATTTATGCCCTTGTGTTGTCTTTCAATGGGTTTACATAGGTCACATGACAAAACTACGTCACTTTTGTGTTGGTTCCCTGACGCAAAACAAGGAAGAAAAGATGGCGGATAGAAATAGAAAGAGATCAAATCATGTATTTATGTTGCAAGTTTAGAGTTTTGCCAGTCGCATTCGTTGATTCCAACCCATGAAATTTGAAGAAGGAATTGTCAGTGTATAGAATAACCATGGGCCTGAAGCTAAGTACGCACAGCCAGCCCCGTATGAGAACATACTCTGGGAGCAGTCCTGCGGGCACCAGTTCGGCCACAGGGGATTTAGCCATGGGTCGATCAGGGGGGGCTGCCGCTCGTGCCCGTGCCAGAAGTCTGGGAAGCTTCCAATCCCCTGGTCATTCGGGTGCTTTGACTATACCAACATCAAATGGCGCCGCTCACAGAAGCAATTCGCCCGATTCTGATTCTAGCTCACCTGAAGAAGGGGGACCCTTCGGGCGCGCATTTGCTCACTCTCTACCCGTTCATTTGTTTGCTTTACAAGGTATGTACACCCCATTCGTCATTAACTTCTGTTATTGAGTGTGAAACTTTATTTTGACGACAACTGAAACTGGAGGTAAGCGTGAACTGTGACGCGCACCTGTCTAGGAAACTCCAGGTTTGACGTATGTTATTTGTGCTTATTCATTCATTGTATGAACTCCTAACAGGATTGTTTACATGAATGTTTTTGTCCTGGGATCAGCCACGTGGAGCAAAGGTCATGTGATGACAACAAACGATCAAGGGTACTAAATTTGGAGCTGATTTTTATCCGCTTCTGCAACAGCATCCAACCTGAGTGATGTATTTGTGTTTCTGTCACAGAGTGTCAGCTGATCACATGCTCAAAACAAACAATATTTTTGCGTTTTTGTTTAGAGTGCATAATAGAATTTGTCTAGTATATTGACTTTAAGAAGAAGGGCGATTTTTATTTTGGGAGGTGAATAAGTCGTAGTTATCTTTTATACATCTAATTAGACTCTCAGTATACTACAATATCATTATTTTTTCCATTACTTTTACCCAGGTTTAGAAATTAACACTAGCCTGCGAGCCGGAGCTAGTACAAATCACTGTGGGCTAGTACAAATTTCATAATTTCCCCATTGTTGTAACATTACAAGGGCATTTTATCTTTACCTGAGTTTGTAAAGCTTTTCAGTTTATTTCTAACAATGTTTACCACACTGATAATCATAATCTTGGTACAGTGTCACCCCATGCTTTTTGTATTGCAAACTGTTCGATAGATTCAGTTTTTATGCATCAACAATCAATACATTGCCACCCATTCTTATGGATTTCATATGAAGGCTTGAATGTTTTACACCACTGTACACTATCATACAGCCACCCACATGGCTGGCATATATGCTTGTGTTGAAACAGCTTTAAGTCAGTCCTTATGCTGATATGGAAGCAGTGACTTTAAATATTAACTCTCTCACTCACTGATATATGAATCAAAGACACCCAAGTTAACTAAATTCTATCACCTTAACCATTGTTAACAATTTTTTAGCTTAACATATTTGGGTCACTTGGCAGCTGCCATTTTCCAATGCTGATATTGCTGACTTGCAGCATTAGAGTATGAAAACATAAACATGATAAAGACAACATTCACTCACCTACACATACAGCAGAATTTGTGAAAACAAGACATTGACTAATCTGGATTTCTGTTATTACTAAACCTAATTGATCATGTTTATGGTCCTTAATACCACATTAAGTTTTCATCAGTTAGAATTGGACTAATCCAGATTTCCCTAATCTCATTAAAATCAGATCTTAGTTCTCGCTACTGCTAAACAAAGATCTGAGGACATCCCATTAGGGGTCACGTCAGAACGTCCTTTCATCTGACCAATCAGAGCGTGGCTTACCAGATCATGAAAGTGACAGCTGGAATGTTATTTCTGATCATGCAGCTTCGAAAACTTTAAAACAGGGTATTCCGAACGATAGTTACAGGCTTAACGACTGGATCTATACAATCTAAACCATATATTAGCCATTCGAGAATGTTCTTTTGTTCAGGTTTCAAATTTTTAAGAGAGAATTTGTCAAAATATGTTTCGAAGCGTTTCTCGCCAATTTGCAATTAGTGTCGTAAAGTACGAGAAAGCTGCCATCTGATTGGCTAATGTCGACTTCTTGTCAGTAATTCCATTGGTCGGTCAGAGTTGGCGAAAGGTCGGTCTGACGTGACCCGAAATGGGATGTCTTCAGATCTTTGTTTAGCGGTAGCTAGAACTGAGATCTGATTTGAATGAGATTGAGATTTCCCTCACTCTTAGTGCCAGACATAAATTGTTGTACAAAAATTGTTGGGCAAAGGACCAGTAGGTCATGTAACTGTCTCTCTTGTAAGCTGTACTTATCAATAAACTGTCATATAATACTGCCCGAATAACATTGTACTAACTTGTGTAAACACTTATCACCTTTACAGTCTTACTATGTGACCTGACATGTCCCATGATCCCTGCCACTGACTTCACAAAGTAGGATATCAAGGCCGTAGTTAACTTTTTTTGACAGGGGGGGGCAAATATTTGTATAAGTATCACTTGTCCCCAACTTGATTAAAATAAAACTGTTTTCTATAAAAAATCTGGCTGGCTACGGCACTGGATATGATGTTACTTTTGAGAGAAATGTAAATGCTGTTATCATGACAGTCTGTGCCAAATACTTTTGAGTTGACAAACCAACATTTGTGTTTTGGCAATATTTTCAGTAGATTTCACCAATACATACATTGATGCATGAATAATATTCTCAGATGATACGATACTTCAAATACACTTACCTGTATCAATTCATAGTTTAACCCTGTATCGATTCACATTTTAATCTTGTATCATTTTACCATGTTTACACATGGACCTGTTCATATTTAATTGATTTAATTTCGTGCGCACATCTGAGGTATTTAGCAAACAGGGACTTTGCTGTTATGTTTTATAAGAGGAAATATTTATGTTGACACTCTTTTTGCATTTGACATGAACTATTGATTGAAATGAGACATTTTTATTTTCAAATATGAGACAAGATATTTAAGTTTCAAGCCTTTTTATAAGTGTTTATGCCCCGTGAAATTGCATTGAATTAAGTGTAGCGATATTTATCGTATCGTGAACAAAGTATGACATTATGTATCGTATTGTGAGATGGTCGTATCGTGACATCCCTAGTATATGGAATATAGTAAGCTGCTATTACCAGACCAGGGGAAGTGTACTAGACTCAAGCTTCAGTCTAGTGGCTAAAATCACAGACAAATCATTAAAACAGTTGCGTTATGAGACAACGTTGACCATGTCATATCTTCAAAACAGTTGCGTTGTAGGACAATGTTGACCATATCATATCTTCAAAACAGATGCGTTGTAGGACAATGTTGACCATATCATATCTTCAAAACAGTTGCATTGTAAGACAATGTTGACCATATCATATCTTCAAAACAGTTGCATTGTAAGACAATGTTGACCATATCATATCTTCAAAACAGTTGCATTGTAAGACAATGTTGACCATATCATATCTTCAAAACAGTTGCATTGTAAGACAATGTTGACCATATCATATCTTCAAAACAGTTGCATTGTAAGACAGTGTTGACCATATCATATCTTCAAAACAGTTGCGTTGTAGGACAATGTTGACCATATCATATCTTCAAAACAGTTGCATTGTAAGACAATGTTGACCATATCATATCTTCAAAACAGTTGCATTGTAAGACATTGTTGACCATATCATATCTTCAAAACAGTTGCATTGTAAGACAGTGTTGACCATATCATATCTTCAAAACAGATGCGTTGTAGGACAATGTTGACCATATCATATCTTCAAAACAGTTGCGTTGTAGGACAATGTTGACCATATCATATCTTCAAAACAGTTGCATTGTAAGACAATGTTGACCATATCATATCTTCAAAACAGTTGCGTTGTAGGACAATGTTGAACATATCATATCTTTAAAACAGATGCGTTGTAGGACAATGTTGACCATATCATATCTTCAAAACAGTTGCATTGTAAGACAATGTTGACCATATCATATCTTCAAAACAGTTGCATTGTAAGACAATGTTGACCATATCATATCTTCAAAACAGTTGCATTGTAAGACAGTGTTGACCATATCATATCTTCAAAACAGATGCGTTGTAGGACAATGTTGACCATATCATATCTTCAAAACAGTTGCGTTGTAGGACAATGTTGACCATATCATATCTTCAAAACAGTTGCGTTGTAAGAAAACGTTGACCATATCATATCTTCAAAACAGATGCATTGTAAAACAACATTTACTCATTCACACAAGCATACAAGCATATCTCCAAAATGGTTGCCATTTTTGCCCTTTGACATTTGTTTCCTTTCACACTACTAGGTCTATGAAGTAAGATAAACGTACAACTTTAATGATTACAACTTCTGGTTTATTGCATATAGTGACGTTTCGATGTAGATTCTTGGACCGATATCAAGCTGGAGGCAATTAAACAGTTAGGAGACCCGTGAAGATCAGGGGTAGAATAGGTCTTCAGCAACCTATTCTTGCTGTAAAAGGCAGTTATGCTTGTTGTAAAAGGCGACTTACGGGATTGGTTGGTCCGGCTCGCTGACTTGGTTGATGCATGTCATCGAATCCCAATTGTGTAGATCAATATTCATGATGTTAATCGCTGGATTGTCTGGTCCAGATTCGATTATTTACAGACCGCCGTCATATAGCTGGAATATTGCTGAGTGTGGAGTTAAACAAACAGTTAGGACTATGAACATGATGAAGACGAAGATTTTGAACCAGTTTTCATCAGCAATTCATGCCTTCTCTTGCCTATGCTTTTGAGGATATTATTCACATGGTGTGACTGAAGAGCATTGTGTGACGTTCGGCGTTAACCACAGCTTACACTGTTACAGCTCCCTGAGCGTCTCCTCCCCACAGGGACGACTCCACAGGTGGGGCATGACCCACCAGAAAACAGCCGTTGAGGCAATACTAATCCATAACCTGAAATCTATGCTGAATAAAGGGTCTTTTGTCCCCTTCCATTTCCACTGGTGCCTGTTAGACAAGGTCAAACATTTCTATCAGATGGAGGACATGGTTTTTTTTTAGTAATGAGGATAAGTTACACATGATTAGTTTTCTGAATTGCTTATACACATGGTATATAAAAGAATCTATTACTTTAGTTTTGTGAGTATGAAAAGGCAAGATAACCAGTAGCCATCAGATCAATGAACAGTGAACAAGCAAGATTGGAAGACATTTGAAGGCGTCTGTGCATACTGGATTAATGGCCATCAACAACACTGACATGTTACATGGATGAAAGTTTATCTCACAAGATCAGACCAATTGACCAGTACAATGAAGGATATTTGTATTTGTCATGACTGAGGTCAGTCACAAGGAAAATAGCATTCCATGAAAATAACATTCTTGATATATTC